TCTCCCACTCGCTTCTCAGCTCTTCTCCTGCCTGTTCTCTCTCCCGCCCTCAAGCTCTATCTATCCTACGCTCTCTCGGTCTATCTCTCTCTCTCTCTCTCTCTTTTTCTTCACTTTTTTCTTCTCACTTTCTTTTCTCTCATCTTCTGCTCCTGTCTCTCTCTCTTTTCTCCCGTCTTTCACACTCACCTCTCTCTACCTGTCTCTCTATTTCAAGTGCAGCAAATTCTCTCTCCTGTTCTCTGCCGGATTTTTATAACTTCTCTACCCCTTGAAAACCCTCTCTATGAATTTAAGAGGCCTAATCCAGAGGCCCATGTCTGGCCGTTACCTTGTTGGTTTATTGTAGTTGCTGTGGGGCTGGTGGTGGGCCCATTGCCCCCCGAGGGGCGAAAAGGCCTAGAAATAGAGGCCCAGACTCCGTTTTCACTTTCTGGTTCACTCTTTCTATCGTGCTCTCTCTCTCCCTGCCTCTCTCCAGTTGGCTTCCGATTTGGGCCCACCCCTTCCCCGGGACAGAATCCACGATGAATTTTTATTTTTGCAGCCCTGCCGCCCAGGGCCCAAACTGCTTTTCTGTTCTGGCCTGAGCGGGGTCGGGTTACTCCTATAAATAGCATTGTCTATTCTTGGTGTAGCTTGTAGTTTTGCTGGAGTTCCCCCCCCAACCGGAAAATTTTTGGGATTTGTCGATATTATAGGCGATAGTCTAAAAAACCAGATCCCCCCCCCCCAAAAAAAAAAAAAAAAAAAAAAAAAAAAAAAAAAAAAAAAAAAAAAAAAAAAAAAAAAAAAAAAAAATTTTTTTTTGGGGAGAGAGAGCGGAGATCGAGTGAGATGGAAATGGCGTGGAGATATAGGAGCCAGAGAGATAGAGAAAGAGGGTTGATGGAGATATCGAGAGATTGAGAGAGCGAGAGAGAGCATGAGACAATTTATACGCCAGTATTTTTTAAACGATTGGATAATTATTAAAAGAAATTCTTTGGAAGAATTTATGTCCTATTGATTCTTCTGATCAGCTAGCAGTGATTTTTAGCGAAATCTACGGAAAAACTGCCATCAATGTCCCTTTAAAATGTCTGTTTCCGGCCTGCGAACGGCAGAATGAAGGCCCCAAATTACCTGATTCTGTTTATCGCATTTCCGGCGTTTCCGGCAAATTCCTGATTTTCCGGCAGAGTTATGTAATTTTCGCGCTTCCAGTGTTTTCCAAAATCTTCGCCGACTGATAATTTCCGACCTTTTGTCTCCTTATGTATTACCTCTATATCTTACTAGGGCCAAGCTCCATCCCCACGCTTTTAACGACATCAAACATCTGCCCTGCTTTCCCGCGCCATGCATCCATCCCCTTTTTTGTTAGCATACATTGGCCACCATTGTCTGGTAACGACATCGTTTCTGCTTGGCTGTGCGCTCTGCAAGCTCTCGCCGCAGATATATACCCTACATTCCGCATAAACCCGCCGAGTGTTCGATTTTTGGGTGTTCGGAGCATTCGAGGGTTTTGATTTTTTTGTTACGATCGAGTACGTTATTTCCGAATTGAAATTTCTGCAGGGGCCAGCTAGCGTAGAGATTCTTTAGGAAATTCTTGGCTATCGGCGCGTTAGTTTTGCTTGAATTGAGAGATTTTCTTTGGGAAATTTAGTGTCTATTAATGCGCTGGCGAACTAGCAGAGATTCTTTGGGAACTCTTCATTCATACCGCTACGTTAGCGAACTAACAGAGATCCTTTTGGGAGCTGTGCCTCCTAGTCATGTCGGGCCGCAGCTAGCAGAGATTCTTTGAGAAATCCATCGAAAAACTGCCTCCTAGTGCCTTCAAAACCCAGATGCCCTGCTCTGATAGTATAGGCAAATCTCGCGGCTAGGTGTATCAGGGGCAGTGAAGCGGCTTCAAATTAAGGGGTTCAGGGTGGCCTGGGGCTGACTGGACCGATGGGTGTAAAATGGACGAAGATACCGCAGTGACGAGACCTCAGAGGAGAGAGAGAGAAGATAGAGCGAGAGAGATGAGAAAGCGAGAGAGAGAGACGAGAGAGAGAACGGCAACTGAAAAAATGCCCCCAGTAGACATCCACACTTCACTCACTCACAAATAAGCCTCAACCCCCAGCCGACGTTCTCTTTTCCCGCTCCGCTACCTGCCAAACGGAAACTCCGTACACACACCTGGGCCTTGGAGCCACCGACAGCTTGATTTATTGAGCGGCTGATAGCTATCCTTATTCCTATAGGCCAGCGCTTCAAGGCTTTACAACCTTGTTTTTCACATCAAAAAAATCAATAGATATTCTTATCATATCATTTTTAATGATAGAGTATATTGTTATTATTACGAGTTTTCGATCGCCAAGTAAAATCCATCGTTCTTCCTTTAACGGCCCTTTAAAACTCATTTCAAAAAACCCCAAAACTAACGGGGGTTGTCAACGGCTACGAATTACACCAAATTACGCCCTTTTAAATCGGCTATATGTCAATATACTGACATTTTAAAAGTGTTTATTCATATATCATAAAAATTATCAGGGCTTTTTGGCCCGGAATTTTTACGTCAAATTAACCCAATTTTCCCGTAACAAGATGAACATGAGCGGTTACGATAAAATTCAGAAAACCCGATTTTCTCGTGCTCAAAACATTTTTTAGTGTAGTTTTTCTCATGCCCCCTTTCCCACTGAAGCTAAAACGTTACGACAGAAATTCGGCAAAACCTATTTTCTCGTGCTAAATTTTTTAGTTTGAGATTTCTCATGCTCCCTCTTTCCAACTAACTCTATGCTAACATAAAGCTGCAAGACACACACAGCCCGTCCTCCTTCGAATCGATGTGTACCCTCAGGGGGCGAGAGGCTTTCCTTTCGCCTTTCTTTCTTTCGGCTATTCCGGGCTGTGCAAGTAGGCTCTTTCCTTTCCGGCCTGCCCGGCTCACGCTCCCAATGGATTTCGGCATCATAGCCTGAACCCGGAAATTGCAGGGCACTTCTAGGCTTAGGATCGAACCCTCAAGCCTTAAAAAGCCCATTTCACAATGAAAAACCCGTAATTTCGAGAATTCTGTGATTTTTTATTTTTTTAATAGAATCTAACAGTTGGATGTTTCAAAACAGTTTTTAAAACCTCGTTTAGCGATTTTTGGAACTCTATTTTAATCGAAAAGCTTTAATTTTCGAGAATTATTCTGTTTTCCGCGTATTTTTCATAATTATTCTTTTACACGGTTGGATGTGAGGGGCGGCATGGATGGCTGCCCGAGAGGGCCCTCTTCAGTGGTCAGCGGAGCATCGGACTCAAGCCGTAGGATGGGTTCACCCCCGCCGGGACTTTTTCGGTGGACTGGGTAGTCCATACGGGCGATTACAACTGGTGTATCCACAGGATACAAGCTCAAACAAATGGTACGGTGTCACATGATGGGAGATGAGGTGGATGGTTTGTATAGGACATAACTGGAATCCATTTATGTATGGAAAGAAAGCTAGGTACGGTTCGGACGGTTGACCAATGAGCTGGCATGGCCCGTTGCCAATCGCATTCTTTGATTTTCGATAAATTTTATGTTTCCAAATAGGTTTTTGAACTTGTTAGCTAACTTTATTCGCTTTGTTAGCTAACATCTATCTTTTTTTTTAACTAAAACCTTCATTTTTCGATCAAAACTAGCTCCTTTCCATCAAATTTGTAGCATTCCTTGAATGTACTGTAAACGGCCGAATTTTATAATTTACAAACTATGGCTTGATACCTATAGATCCTTACTTCTTGCTCGATAAGTTTTTTGGCGGCTTAACGCTCGCCTCGCCAGAAAAGATCTTGCCCCCTCCCCCAGCGTCCATTATTATGCATCGAATCCGGAATCCGGGGGCCCTCCAACTGGGCCCCAAGCCCCCTAGGGGCCCTCACTCTACTCGGGGCCCCCTCTTCCTTCGCAGCCATATTCTAGCCGCCAACCTTACTCGGTTAGCGCGTCATCATTTCGGACTGAAAAAATTATGTTAATATTGTGTTTTGGTCGCGGGAAAAAGCAAAAGTTAGTTTTGAAGAGATTTTCAAGGCAAAACGATGAATTTTTCCGGCGTTTTTCTTCACGGTCCCTTTAAAAAACCTTGTTTAGGTTTAAATTTTTTTAAAGGGACAGGCAATGCGGCAGTTATGGATCACTCCTCGATTCCGCCGCGCACGCGACACGCGACGCACACGCGAGCCGGTATATTGCGTAATCGATTACGACCCGAAAAGAACGGCAAGCATATGGCGCGCGGTGCGTTGCGTCGCGGGTCGCAGCGCGATAAAACCGCCAGTAAATCTATAGTTTAGTCTAGTCGTAATTATCAGCATGCCTTACACGTTCCTTGAAAGTTGACATCAAATATCCGCCGAACCCGCTTTCCTTATGTGCGAATTGAGCGCAGGTGGGGTCCCGGTTTCGAGGATCCCGTTGCACAAATGGGCCACACATGCTCATGTCCCCCCTCGGCCCGTGTCTTCCTCCCTGTGTTCAATGGCGGCTCGAATTTCCCTTGTCAGCCCAAGACGAGAAAAGGGGCACATTCGGGTCTTTTCACTGTTTCATTGACTGAAGACTCTGGGCATATCTTCATTTGGTAATTACAGAAAGTAGGATACGATTGTTTTTACCCTATTTTTAATTCTCACCTGTTTTCCTATTTTTAGTAAACTTTTATATCTTTTAATGTATACTTCAGGTGCCTTACACGCTTGTAATGGCTCTCCAAGACGAGGAGTACATTGCCGAATCAAAAGATCCCACCCCGGAGCCGCAGGGTGACCTCCCGCCCGAGCAGGTACATTTTTACTATACTAAAATTTGTATTTCTTACGGTTCAAATAGATTTCGAAACCAAAAAAATGGCGAATTCCATCTACTTTAATATTTTTAGGTATCACCCTCACACCCAGTCAGCCGGCACACACCTTCCCATTCGACAAATGGCATCTCCGAAGCCATCAAGAAGGAACGCGTCCTTGATATGCAGCTTGGACGTAGGTTTTCTATATTTTTTTTTAATTAAGACTCAAAATAAATAAAACTTTAATGTAAATGAGCTAATTACAGTTAAACATAACTTTTTGTATTGTTTACCCATTTAAACCTAAGAAAATTTCACCGTGGCTAAATTACGAAGGCTTTTTTGAAGATTTTTAAAGAAGAGAAAACTAAACGAGTTTAATTATAGCCGAATTAAAAACTAAATCGAAAAATCCATGTTTTTAAACGTCTAGGAGCCCGATTTGTCCGCCTACATGATAACGTCAACTACGTGGCGGCAGCTGTAATTTGCGCGGGCGAAGGCGACGACACCGAAATCCTCCTCATCCAAGAAGCCAAGAAAAGCTGCTACGAGAAGTGGTATCTCCCAGCTGGACGAGTGGAGGCTGGCGAGACATTGATTGTAAGCTCGGCCGAATTTCCTGAAATCTTCCTTATGTTTAGGAATCTGTCCACCGCGAAGTTTTGGAAGAAGCCGGATATACAGTTGAGGTCAATAAGTGCTATCGATGCAGGTAAAAACTACTTTACCTTGTATACCTTACGAAATATAACTCAAAGCTTAATTCCAGATTCAAGGCAGCGGGTGGTACCGGTTTGCCTATGTCGCGACAGTGACTGGAGGCACCCTAAAAGATTATCCAGACCGAGAATCACTGCAAGCTCAATGGTTCAAGGTAAAGGAGATCACGTCTTCGAAGCCGCCGGTGAAATTGAGGTGAGTGACGCGAAAAGCAAGGTAAAGCGTAAAAATTCCGACTTTTAACTACTTATAAGTTTTACAGCGTTTTTCCTTAGGTTATGGCCTTTATCAAGACTTTAGCAACTAAATGGACGGGAGAAACGCTTAAACGCATAAACCATTTATTTTTTAACTTATAACGTCTTTTACGGCTTCATTTTGACTTCTATCTTTTGATTAAACACTTTGAGCCACAAACTTGAAGTGAAAACCGCCTAAAAAATTGTACTTTTTTCAGAAACACTGTTTATTCCTTTATTTTATCTTCTAAAAATTATCTCCTTTAAAAAACTTTTAACACGTGAAAAATATACCTTCCAGGGGCCGAGACTTCCTGAAATTGGTGGACGAAGGGCTGGCCTATCGGACGGCTAAACGCTTCGCCAACGTGCCCCCAATTCTACCAGTCAACGAGCCGTACGCCGGGCTTTTCGTCGAGTTCATGATTTGTAAATACAACAAAGACGAGTAGGTTTCTGAAAATAAATTTTATTTCGGTTTCAGTACCCGAGTCGACGTGCTCGTCCACAAGTCAATCACCACAGAGCAGGCCATGGCCGCCCATGACCAGCCTTTTCCCACTTGTGAATTCGGCTTCGAGTATTTCTTCGCGATGGTCATCTCTAAATGTTATAGGGTAAGTGGTTGAACAACCTTATTTTGACTAGCTTACGGATGAACATTGTCGTTTCCAGCACCTCCTCGATGAAGGCTCAAACGCCCTTTTCGTCCCGTCACAAATCGTCCGGTTACGATGTGCGCCGACGCCGATGGAAAGTATCGCACACGGCTTGCAGGTGGGTTCAACACGCCAAAAACATTTAAACTCCAAACCCGTTAAACACTACAACAAACACATTAGAAAAACCAGCATTTCCAGGTTCGCCTGTTCTGCGAGCACAAAAAATCTGCCGGAAAGGCACCGATCAAAAGCCCGAGCAGGTAAGACCACCAGATCACCAAAAATACCCCAATTTTCCAGATATCATTGGCTAACCGTCTCAGACCCCGAGATTCGACGCCAATTTTACCTGGAGAAAAACCAATACAGGCCCTCACTTCATCTCCTCTAAACGGCTTACCCAAGAAATTACCCCATTTACAGTGGCCTTCCCCGAATTCCATGTGTCTCCCGGTGCTTTAGCAAAACCAGTCTTTTCTCAAAAGCCCAAAACCCTCTCCGTTGTCACAACAAAAATCTCATAACTTCCCATTCATACGTACTGTGATTGACGGCCGGCCACAAGTCTTCTTTTCAGCTAGCAAACCGCAGCTATCTACTTTAGAACGTCGTCTAGTATAACTCGGCGATAACTTTTGTCACCTGGTTGCCTGTGTCCCACCCCTTATGAAGTGCTTTACGCCTGGATAGGTGGACAGGGATAAAGCTTACTAATGTAGGAAATGGAAAGCAAAATCGGAATGCACAGAAAAGTCGCTCAAAAAGTAAAATATTACAAAACCGAAATACAGACCCGATGAATATGAGAAAAGGTAAATGGAAAATGAAAAAGTTACATAGCAATCACTGTGACATTTGCGAGAGCGTCCCGTCCTCCTTGCTCTCCAATTTTGGCATCAACGTGTCGATGATGTCGACGGGCTTGGAGTTGAACACCAGTTTTTGGGTGACGATGTGCGAAACTTCGACCTCACCTCCGTCCTGAAATTACTGATTTTAGGAATTAAAGTAATTCAAGCACCTACCGTCTCTTCAAGCTCGTCGACGTTGTGTGGCTTGACGAGGAGTAGCGGTTGGTCGAGCTAAAATTCCTACGTTTTTGTCGAGTCAAAAAACCTTACCTCGACGAGCTTTCCGCGAATAATTTGGGTACCCACTGCGAGCATGGCCTCCTTTTCGGTCAACCATTGTAAACAGCCTAAAATCGTATAATAATCATGATCTGGGCAATTTTACCTAGAAGTTGACCATCGAATTGTAAAGCCGAATCCAGCGATCCGTGCAGCTCTATCATAATCGGGTTCTCGCCCTTTCTAAAAATGATATAATGACTTTTGGAAAGAACCAACCTGTAAACCAATTCAATCTGCATCGTTAGAATTTTGTATTACTTTTAAAAGTAAATTTCTAGAAACTGTAAAGGTAATAAAGCGCCATTTATATTTTTTAACTTACCGCGTTGCGTACGGAGCGCTACAAATAGCGAATCAACCCCGGCGCGACAAAGGAAATCCCTGAGAACTGTGCACCCATTAGGCCCGGTTTCTCTGAAGAACAGAAACCAAAAACTAAGCTTTGAAAATAAAGTTTTACCTTTTATAAAACCTTTATTATTTATTGGAAATGGCTTATTATCCTTCCCTTTAGACAGAAGACGACCACCTGCGAATGTCCATAATTGCCTTTTTGCAAAAAACGTAAATCTTTGACGCAACATTCTGTTGTGCTCGTGTCTGTCGTGCTGTCGCTGTGTTGTCTTGCTTCGGTCCACTAGCAAGTTTAGAAAAAAACCTAGCACGCTCTTCTGCGATCGGCCCATCACCACTGACGAGTTTTCCAAGCACTCATTTTTCGAGCCCGCACATCTTCTAACCCCTCAATTATCTAAAACAGGTTCCAGATAGGGCGTTGCTTTTTAAAATAATTGCTTTTAGGAATCGACTAGTAAACTGTATTTTTCTTCCCTCAAACCAATCCATCTCCGCAACCGTCACCTTATAATTTGCTGCTTTTTGTTAACGTAGTGGGAGGCTGGCTAAGATTTTGCGTTTACCAACTATTTTTCTAGGCCACTCGTCCGCTTGCGGTTCTTCGAAAGGCTTCTGAACCTGTTCGGATCAAAGCCAGCTTTGACCGATCACGCCAGGACCGCCAAGTCAGTCGCCGTCCCGCCAGTGATACGTCCAAGTTCTTCTCCAGGGTCTTCACCACAGGCATCGTCAGCTTACAAAAATTCATATCTTTTTTAGCCGATTGCCAATCCCCCACGACCGCCTGTACAAACGCAAAAGATGCATCTTCAAACAACAGTTTTTGCAGTAAGAGTTTTCTCTAAACCTTAAGATGTTTAATTTTAGGCTGCCCGAATTCCGATGATCAAATTCGTTGGCGCCCGATTGCCGAAGCCGAATTTTAACAGGTAAATAAGCCGACGATTAGCTTATTATATTTTTTCAGGGCCAGCCTGCCCCGCTGCAGGTCGCGGGAAGCGCTGGTCAGTTTTTAGCACTTCTAACACGATAAGATATGCTTTTTTAAATACTATAGAATTATTTCAGTTTCCCCTCTTTCGGCCGCCAAGCCCACTTCAATTGGAGCTGTTGGCAAGATTCCACGCGGACAGGGAATTCCCGAAGCCCAGACGCCGAAACGGTTCGATACTGTAGAATCGATTTATTCTCTTTTTGCAGGTTTCTCCGACCACTTATTTCACAAGAAGAATGCGATGCGATTAACGTAAGCTTTACTAGTTAAAGAAATTAATTTTAACGGAAATCGGTTATTGTCAGTTCAAAAGACTTCTTGCCTACACTCTATCGTAGAAAAAGCTTCTTGCGTTTAAATTTTCTATTAGGTGTGGAAGTTTTTCCAGGCTTTATATAGCCGCTGCGCCTTATTGGAGATTTTCTAAAATTCTGTTGTTCGGTCACTAGGGGTTACGTGGCGCACGCGGTTGTCCCCCTCTTCAATACCTTACCCTTCCTTTTTCAGGCCGGCGGCAGCTACGGCTTGTAGACGTCCCGCCGCTCCAGACCAACAGGATCATTTAATTAATTTCTGTCTGTAGTTGCTTTACTCGGCGATTAGTTGTGCTTCTAGTCTCCCAGGGACGAACAGTCCCTATTTCTCATGCTCATTTTTGTGTCTTGTCAATAAATTTCTTGAAAGAATTTTCGGTTCGTACAGCTAAGCATACAGGATTGGCGCAAAGAGGTTTCTTGGCTGTGTTTGCAAGCTTCATCGTGACGTAGTTGGCTGTAGATGGCCTAAGCGATGGTCCGGCGCATCGAATTGCAGGCGGCGTCGAGCCAGCCGGGGACAAGGTAAAACTATCTGCTTTTTCTGCAGGATTTTCAAATTTCTAGTTAAAACAGACTTTTTAAAGCGTTCTAACATCTCCGAGCACACAATAACGTGTGCTAAGCTCTCCCAAAGCATGCCGTCTTGCTTTAACCTGGAAATTACAGCGATGAGGGCTTCTTGCGGCCGCTCTTGGCCTCCTGTGCCGCCAACGATTCCGGGAGACGAAGCAGCTTGGTCTCAGAAATTGACGAGCGGCTGGCCTCTCCAACCTCTAAGAAATCGTTGATGCTAGAAGTTTCCGTTGAAAAGAATCTACTAACTCTCCTACGCACTATTGAGGTTTGTCTCCTAATTTTGAAAAGCTTATTAAATTGTATTTATGAACTAACTCACTGAATTTTTGCTTTTTCCCTGTTGGCACTGCAAAATCGTGTTCTTTTCCGCTTAGAAAATGATTTCTAACAATTCACTCTTTTGAATAGTGAGCAAAAATCGGGTGTCATGAAAGTTACTGTATTTAATTGGAAGGTATTATAGTAAAGTTTTAGCAAGTCCCCGATCCGCCGGCGCTCCATGGGTTGTTGGACGTCCTCGAGGCTTATCTTCTACAAGGAACCGCCACCGGTAAGTCTGATTGACAGGTCTGGCGCGGACGATAGGCCCTTATCTTTGGCTGGACCGCCCACGGCGCCTCAATCGGCCTTGGCTAATTGCGAGGGGGAAGAAGGGTACCTACCGGGCAGTTTGGTAGTGTATTGCCTGGGTAACGTCTTTTTTGGTTTGGAAAAGCAATAAAACTCTGAAAACGCACTCAATTCGTATAAAAAGCTAGAAATAAGTGCTGAAAATTACGTATTGTCTCCATTTTTTTTTAGCCCGATCGAAGAGGTTGAAGAAATTGAAGCGCCTCGATGCGACGTCCCCACTTCTGCGCGCCATGCGGACGTTGTTGAAGGGCAACGGCTCGATGGAGAGCGTCGATCGGTTGTCGAGCGTCTTGCTGCTCGTGGCAGTCAAGGGTACGTGCCGATGCTATCGCTCGATCACTCACAAATCGGCCCCCATTTGGCAGGAGTTGGCAAAATGACCTTGCTTAGGAGTATCCGGAGCATAAGGAAGTTAGGCCATTATCTATAGGGTCTGGAAAAAAAAGTGATCTTTGTTTTGGCGAGCCTGGGAGATGAGAAGTGATTTTAAAAAAAGGCGGAAACGGCGGAAAATAGTGTTTTGAGCTGGGAAATGGGTTTTTTAGGAAAAGGTAGAAGGCTGCTCTGTAATCGTACCAACAATTTCTTGGTTTTTTTAGACCAAAAACTTCCCCTGAAGCTGCGGATGGGCGCCGTTTTAACACCGATCTTCGACCGGGCCGTCACCGATCGCGGCCAGCCCTGGGTCTCGATCCTCAAATTATTGTGTAGAGGCGTTAGGACCGGTAGCGGCTTTTTCCAACTTTTAAAAGCTAAATTTTTAGCCCGAAACGCCCAGCTGATCTCCCGGCCTCCTGGGAACCTCGAAAAAATTCAGCAACAAATCGCCGGGCTTCAACGAGACGACGAGGATCTGGTAAGGTGTTTTTAGCTGAAGAAAAAGCTATTTTAGGACGATTCCGCTTCGGAAACTCTGCTACTGGCGCTCGCGCGATGGCTGGAGATTGTGTTTTTGTTAGCGAAGAATAGTGAGTTTTTCAATTTTTTTCTTAAAAGTTGATTAGACAAACTGCCTATAAGGATACTATTCTTTCCCTTAGAACACCGATTCCTAAAATTTTTGATCATTTGTCCCGCAATTTTGAGCGAATTCTGTGAACGGAAGCTGAAAAAAAACTATATTTTAGACTTTTCCTCCTCTCAAAATCCATCAAATTGCGGGAGGCGTGAATTCGCCTAGAGTTACACTTTCCGGGCCATCACCCCACAGTGTTATGGGCCCATAAGGTACTCAAAAAGACCCAGCGGACTTTTTTTGTGTTGTTTTCGCCCCGTCTTATCCAGCTGATTTTTGCCCCGGGGTGCTGGATCACGTTTCGCTTCCTCTTGGCCACTTGGCCATCTATCAACTGACCATTGGCCCCGTTGGGTCCCGGTCCCGCTTGCCGGGGAGAGCTATTTTCATTTGCGTTTCTATTTTTTTAGTTATTTCTGTATTTTAGCGCGCTAGATCTCTATGATATAACTCGGGGATTCATGACTTAGCAGGGATTCTTTAGGATACGGGCTAGATTTAATTGCATTTAAAAGGCAGGCTAGCAAATACCATTTGTGGATCCGAGACTTTAAAACTATTTTTCAATATGAATGTCTATTTGTAAATAACTAAATATTTTCAAAAATTATTCCCTTGGTTTAGTAGGTTTTTTAAATGTTTTGTTTTGTAGGCGGAAAAAAATTGTTTAGGAAAAGCCCGCACGCACCTGGCTCATCATACCACCGCCACGCTGCACGACATTTGGAAGCAGAACTTGAGCACAGGCTCGCAGGTGAGAATTTATCTCTCACTCTCTCTCTCTCCCACGCTCTCTCTCTCTCTCTCTCTCTCTCTCTATCACGCCGCTAATATTTAATTTCGATTTCCAGAGCCTGCCCGACATCCGAGAAGAGGTGTGCCTCGTTGCCACCGGGGTGCTGAGATTGTTGGTGCGGAACAGTGAGTCAAATTTAACTTGTCAAACAAATTTTTAATCTAGTAAAAGCCAAGAAGAAGCTGATGGGGCTGGATACGGTTCGGCTGTGCGAGCAGGCGATAGCGCTTACCGACGAGAAGGAGCCTAAGGAGGCCGTGGCGATCGAGCTGCAGGTTTGTGTTTTTAAACTTTTTTTTGTGGCTTGAATAGTGCTGATGGGTTGTGCAATCTGTTACGTGGAAAAATATTTTTTCATTGGTGCGTGATCCAAGAGCCGCGGTTTTTTTGGTTCTTGATTTAGTGAGTTTTAGGAGGTTTTCTGACGAAATGACGATTTTTTTCTGGTTTTCAAGGGCTTTGAAATAGGTGTTCGAGTTTGTGCTTCCGCTTCGGGGCCTATTTCGACGTCAAAAACGCTACTTATAGCATTTTTTAAAAGGATAGTGGATTTTTTCAAGAGCTCAGGCAAATTACGGCGAACTTTAGGGTCATTTAAATTTTAAAAAATTCCCGGAAATAATGCATATAAAATTAGGAATTTTTGAAAATTTGGTAATGCTAAGACAATCTCTCTAAACAGCCTAATTGAGCAGCGTAGTTGATGATCTCAACGCCATAAAATCTGGTTGAAAGAACCGTCAGCTACGCCGCTCAATACAGCCGATTTCCAGGGTTTGGGAACGGAATATTAGCCCAAAATCAAGTGACCGCCGTCAAGAGGCGTAGTTGATGATCTCAACGCGCTGAACTCGTTGCAGACCGTCAGTTACGCCCCTCGATGATGGGTCAAAAGGGGGGGGAAGGACGAGTCGAATACGTACAGGCATGATACGTACAAACACACAACCACTACCTCCTCTGGTCAATCGATCAATTGGGGCGAGTCCACCCCGCCCGCTTTCACCCCACGGCCGCGGCTAGATGGGCCCTCTCTCTCTCTCTCTCTCTCTCTCTCTCTCTCTCTCTCACTGGGCCCGACTAAAGTGTAAAAGTTTGCGCCCTGTGCAAGAGGACTGCGCTACGATTATGGGAATACACTTTGAAAAAGGACACCGTTTTACGGTAGATGGAAGGCTAGCAGTGATTTTTGAGTGATTTTTGGAATGTTTAGCTGAAGGCGGGCTAGCAGAGAATATTGGCGAGTCTTCTCTGGCTCGAATCGCGCCGATAGGAAATTTTGGAAATTGGAAACTGCTAAAAATAATCGAATATTTGTCTCGAGTTAATTCTATTTTTAATTAATGGAGAGAAGGGCTTCAAGCTAGCGAAAAAAATTTTTATTTATAGCTTACCTAAAAACTGTATATTTTAATTAGTAAAGCTTTTTAGAAAAAAAAACCCAGTAAACTCCAAATGTTTACTGTAATTGAAAAAAATTGGATTTTTACGGCTAACAATCGCGATAAAATTCTTTGAAAAAAGCCCGAAATTTAAGTTTGCGGCTGGAATACAGTAATCTACTCAAAAACCCATGGCGAGAATACGATGAGATATGCGCATTTTTAATGGGTGACTAGCCCCCGGGGTATGCCCGACATGACATACCAGCGATATGCAAATTAGGCCCCAGGGCCCGGGGAAGAGAGTCTGGTATCGGAATTCCGGTAGACACCTACTTACCCTAGGGGAATGGCTGGATGTGGTGAGGAGGAGGAGGAGGAGGTGGCCTGTAGCGGGCCGGCGGATCGAATACAGGGCAGATAAGCGGTCTGGTGGCGGTGGAGATCGGCTGCTGGTGGGGGGGATGGAGGCGGGGCCCCCAAAGGGTCGAACGAATCAATACGGTTCTCGGGAGCCGGCCTCTATGCCCCGTCTCGTCGCCGCGAAATGAGCACACACACGGACAGACAGACATGGACAGAGAAAAACCGACAGACAGACAGAAAGGTAGAGCAGGCTGAACAGACAGTGAGGCAGAACCAACTGAAAACACGAACAGACAGATAGAAATGGTCGGTTCTGTTTCATTAGCGGGGGCAAAGACAATTGAAGACATAAAGGACAGAGACAGAACCGACGGAAAACACAGGCATACAGGCAGGGTTGGTTCTGTTTCGTTAGTGGGGGGGACTCAGGCACAGCAATACAT